TAATAGGTTTTAGTCCAGATCTAATAGGTCTTAATAAAAGGGGTATGAACTTTTTTCTTCTAAACTATATTTATCTTGGTCAGTTCGGGAAAATTTCCGCACTGACGCCATGTTACAATATTAGTATTTTTTCTAAAAAAATTTTAGTTTATAAACCCATACAAAAAAACGCATAAAATAATTCAATTCTAGCGTGGCTTGCGATCAAATGCGTATTTTTTAACAGCTATTTTATCATAATTTCAATAGGATTTTATATGCTGACATAAGTTTTATACTTTGGTGAGAAATAAACTAAAAGCTCGTTTTTGACAAATCGAGGTTTACTTGGTCGACGAAAGTTTATACTAAAAGTTTTTGTTTTTATCGCTGAGTGAAATAACTATTTTTGAAACTTGCAGAATTAAGGCCAATTTTCACTGAACTTTTTTTATTAGTTATGAGATATAAATATTTTGCTGATAACAAGTAAAAGTTAATAAACAGGGAGGTCGTAAAAAGCTTAGGATGGGTGGGTAAATTTTCCAAAAATTGACAAACATCAAACACCAGCCCCAAGCCGAGCCCTCCCCCTCCCACCGCGTCCATTAAGGACTCGAGAGTAATAAAGCTGACGTGTTTGCGGCATTTCGGGCCATATCAAAAAAAGTCTGCTATAAATTGTCAGATCGTCTGTTCTTTTAATAATAAGAATCTAAAAATCTTCTTAAACTTTCTTAAACACTCTTCTAAGTCTTTTGATAAACTTTTCTGCAATATTCCTGATTTGTTTGGTGTTTCTGAAATAGTAAACTTCAATCCTGACATTGATCTTGCTCTTGAAATTGGAAATTTTAGCATTAAGTGTTTTAGTGACATTTCTTGGTGTACGTAAAGTTAAAATAAGTTTTAAAACATCAAAACAACATCGTACTAAATAATTTTTTTTTTTATAATATTTCGGTCTAATTTGTATAGACCATCATCAGACGTAAATTACAATTTAAAAAACCGTTACAATATAAAATTTAAAAATCATAAAGAAGCCATTACAAAGACGACGTCAACAAAAATTGTTTTGTTTTTTTTACGATTTTCTTAAATAGTGGTCTCCAACTATTTAAAGCAACTTTTACCCCGTTATCTTTGTTAAGCAGTACTGGGAATTGTTTAACCTCTTGAAATGTTAGCACATAGTTAATTTCAAGCGATTCCCCTATTTTTTTTTCATGATAATTGTTATTTAAAGATAGAGTTTTTGGGTGCAGCCAATCGAATATCCCATGACATTCTTTGCAATGCTCAGTAGCTCCAGAAGCATGCCAATTACTATTCATGCTATTAATTTGGTGTTCTATGCTTCTTTGCAAAATTCCCTTTTTTGTTTCCCCAATATAAAAGGCATTCTTCTATGGTTTCAATATAACACTTGAAATCTCTCTTTTTTGCCATATCTTCATATGGTAAAGTCAGGTAGCCCCGGACGTTAAAGAAAAAAATTGATTGTACACATGTACAGAAAACAAAGTTTTAAAAGACTTTTTTAAAAGTATAAACATTTATCTATTGAATTAGAAATAAAAAATAATTACTGTGTACCTTAATAATATACAATATAAAAGAAAAAATGTTAGAAAAAAGGCATGTTCAAAACTGGAGGGTAGCCCCGGACACATAGTTTAACCACGATTTTACCTCTTTTTTACCCGGTTACCCAAATGTTACATACAACTAATTAGCAATGGAATGCTCTCAGCACATTGAAAACAAAATTGCCTTCAAAATTGCCTTTGATATATAAGGAATTGAAATGAAAATGTCATCATTTAGAAATATAAATATTAACTTTTTGCTAATAAAAACAAAACTTTAAAATCACTTTTTTAAAATCATAGGTCTTTTTATTGGAATTAAATGAATTATGGTTTTGTGTATTATATAAAATGTATTATTATTTATATAAAAAGTTGATCATTTTAAATATGTAAACGGATTAATTTGTCAAAAACCACCATCCAAAGGTGTGTTTGGATGGTGGTTTTGGTACCATCCGATACCACTCAATCATACCTTATTCACAAATAATAGTTTTAAACCAGTGAATTAAAGTGTTAAACAAATTCTTTTTTAATAAATATTGTAACTAAAAATGTATCTTTAATCAATAAAATGTTATTATTTTGCATTAAAACTAGGTATATTAATATATGATTCAAATAATATGATACATCACTCTTCTGGAGCAGGGAAACAATATCTTGCACTACCAGCCAATCACTTCGACATATTATGATAGATATTTTGCATGTGCCATACTTTCACTCAAATAATGTTTTTATAGTATTTAAAATTACATAGCTTCTTTAGTTTAAGTACGTCAAGTGTCCGGAGATGCCCGCCGTCGGGGTTACCCAACTTTCCCCTACTCCAATTATCGATGCACAATTACATTATCTAATAACCTTATTACTCGCAGTCGCATACCATTGCAAAGTCCTTCATTGGCATTTAAATTTTTGACATCACAACATTGTAATCTTAGTTCAAAGTTAGTTTATGAGGGAGCAAACCAGTTGGTGTCGACTTTGAAAAAGTCATTGATAGCATCTTGACCACTATGAATATTCATTCATATGAATATTCATAAGTATTTATTCTATAATTACGTACCTCAACTCCATTATGCATCCAAACTTGTATGAATTTGAGTTGTTTACCATTAGTTGGTTCTAAGTTTCATAAGTTATATTTAACCAGTTTATGTACTTGCCATACTTGTGCTTATGTAATGCCAGACCCACTCCATGATGTAAAAGATAAGCTGTTGTCTTATAAAAGAATTTTTGCTTTGAATACTTTACTTTGCTCATCTTCGTGTAAAAAATCTCCAAACTTTTTCTCTTTTCGGCTAATTTACAGTGATCTAATCTTTTCTTAACATTAGCTTAGCTTTTCTGGCGATAAGAATAATGCAGATTTGCATGCTTTAGCGTCAGCTATAATTAAATATTTTATTTTAAATTAAAAAATTTTAATTTAAAAAACTAGGAAAATTTCCATTATAACACTGTATTATTAGACAAATCTATCCCATTCAACATAAAAACATCACCTCAAAAATATACAAACCACTTTTTTTGTTGTTTCTTTAACTTTCTAGTGTTATCCACTAATCGATTAATTTTTATAGCCAAGTATTTTTTTTACAGAAGAGTTGCTGACGTTTAAATACTGAATTAATCAACATCATTTGGTATAACATTTCAATCACAAATATATTCATTAAACATTTTATTTAAATAAATATAGAATTTTCAAGAAATCATCACAAGTAACTAAATTTAAATTCAACTTTAGAATCAAACATAAATTAACATTACTAAACTAATTTTTATCAATTTTAAAGTTAATTATTTTTTAAAAATTAAAAAACATATACAATCCACTGTTCCGGGTTACATCATTAACTTATGATAATTATGCGAAACTCATTACGGCTGTCATGTTGGTTCACAAAACAAGCGAAACTATGTCTTTGAGCAAAAGCAAATATTTTACTTGTCTTTCCGTTAAAAGCAAGCAAAGATATCTTCATAAAATTTCTCAAATAAATAATTTAGATCCATATAGCTTTGTGAAATCTGACTTGGTTTTTTCAGTTGATTTTTATCCAAAAATAAGTTATCCTGATATTGTAAACTATTCAATGTTTGCTTTATCTTCTATATCTGCTGAATAACTTAAAAGTTATTAAAGTTTGGAGTCTTATAATTTTTTTCTCTCTGGCTGGGTCAAGGAAATTGGTTTAAAGTTATTTAATGAAAAATGTTTGGTCATTGGAAGGGTAATATATTTTTAACATTAATGAACAATATTATATAATTTTATTTTCTCTTATTAAAGGTTTATCATTTACAAAAACATAATAAAACAGCAACTTCTACATGGATCATTTCTGAAAAGTGTGGTAAAATATTGTATGCTCATTGTAACTGCATAGCTGGTCTTGGACAAGCATGTTCTCATATTGGAGCAATTTTATTTTATATTGATGCTGCTGTCAGTATTCGCGATTCTAAGACAGTTACAGAAGAAAAAGCATACTGGATGCTTCCATCTTCATCCAAAGATATTCCGTATTCAGAATGCATTGATATAGACTTCACCTCCCCAAGTACTTTAAAACGAAAATATGATAAGGCAATACTAAAAGAGTCTGATAAAAACAGTGATGCATTGTCAATTAATAAGTTACATTATAATATTTGCACACCTCCCACTCAAAATGAACTGGATACATTTTTCAACAATCTGAGCCTCTGCAAGTCAAAGCCAGCAATTTTATCTGTTATATCTCCTTACAGTGCAGAATACCAACCCTCATTATTGAAATTGCAGTTTCCGAAAATGTTGCGGGAATTGTATGATTCCTCAACTTTATCTCTTAGTTACATAGATTTGTGTAAACAATGTGAAAGTTTTAATTTGACTGTATCAGAGATTGAGCAGTGTAATGTTGAGAAAGCTACAAGAGAGCAAGTTTTTTCCAAAAAATGGTTTCATTTTCGAGCAGGAAGAGTCACTGCATCAAATATGTACCGTGTATTTCACACACTTGACTCTATGCCTGCCCAATCATTAGTCTATTGCATTAAATAACGCTTTATTGCACTAAACCATTTCCTTTTCCTTTCTGTTGATAGCTGTTTAGTTTCCTCGTCGTGATGTGAAAGTATAGAAGGAATACGAAAAAATGACTTGGTACAACTTTCAGAACGATTTGTGCAGCCAAACACACAACAAATAACCATGTCGTAGGTGATATCAAAATTGTACCAACAGTTATGATAATATAAAATCGCGATTATTAAAACACCAATTCCTATATAAATATATGCTTTATAGTATTTGTTTGTGAACCATCATGGCGGCTTTTTTAAAATTAAATTTAAGTAAAAGCTAGTGAGGCCAGGTCGGAACACTGGATACAATGTAATAATATATAACGTTTAACTTGCAAAACACCAACCTATATCAATCTACATTAAATATAAAAGATATCAGTGAGTGGGAGAACATTCATTTAAGGAAGTTTACAGTGACGGATCCAGGATTTTTTGGTGGGGGAGGGGGAGAGATGTTGATACCAATAGTGGTTAGCGTAATTTTTTTGGAAATTACGAATAAAAAGATATCGACGGATGGTATTGGAATTGAACTATGGGGAGTTAGTTTCTTATATAGATCTTATATAGATTAGTTTCATTTCCTCGGGAAATAATTTCACTTTTTTTTTAGACTAATAGGGTTTTTGTTTGATAAATAACAAAATCTAGAATGCAAAATCTAAGCGTCTCTTCTTACTAGCTGCAAATCTATCAATTACGTCGTTAGCTTCTAAAAGCATGGCATTATAAATATATAATAATGCCAAGCCAGTTAAATGCTCATTATTGGTTCGGTTACGCAAAGGACTTTTTAAAATATTCATGGCGCTAAAGCTCCGTTCAGCTGTACATGTTGTGATTGGAATAGTAGAGAAAATCCAAAGAAGTGTCTTGATGGTTGCCAATCTATAAAATAAAATTAACAGAGTAAGTTAATAAGCAACAGAGATTTAAACTGATATAGTATTTTTTTTTTTTATAAATTATACCTATCAGGAATTAGATCTAAAGCTGCTAATAAAGGTTGAAGGATGGCTTTGCATATGCAAGCAAAATTCTTTCCACTACAAATATTCATTATGAATAGTTTCCTAGACTCGATACCCAATTACAGAAGAAAACATTCTTGCAGTTTCAACCACATCAGAATCAACCACAGAAGAATCCGGTATCCAATGTTCAGTCATCAATTTCTTTTTTTCTAAATCATTGAGTTTTTTCGCATATTCAATATTTCTTACGTCACCCAAAAAAATACAACCAATATCATTACTGGCTGGATGAGAATTATCTTTGTATGCCTCGTTATCGGTTTCTGTTAACATCGTTTGAATAGGTGTACAAGTAAGAGATTGCGAGAGGACGTCGGTTGATTCAAAAGGTTTATTAATACTGCAATCAAATACGGGTAAAGCTACAGAAGTACAAAGTGTATCATTGAAACAAATAGGAGGTTTTTTAATCAAAAAATCCGTAATGAAAAACCTAGGTTTCTTCAGCAGTCGTTCTTTGCTCATAGTAATCTCAATCTAGAATCACATTTATATATATATATATATATATATATATATATATATATATATATATATATATATATATATATATATATATATATATATATATATATATATATATATATATATATATATATATATATATATATATATATATATATATATATATATATATATATATATATATATATATATATATATATATATATATATATATATATATTATTGAGTTGTGTTGTATTCTGTTGGATTTAATACAGCTCTTTATACATTTATAATGTTTTTTGATCGATATTTATAAAATAGATCAAAATATATTAAATATTTAAATGAAAAAAATACGACTTTTTTATGGGACTTATTTTCAGCCATATCATAGATATGGCTCAATGATTGCCGAATGGCATGAAACTTGAATTCCCATAAAAAAGTTGTATTTTTTTCATTTAAATGTTTAATATATATATATATATATATATATATATATATATATATATATATATATATATATATATATATATATATATATATATATATATATATATATATATATATATATATATATATATATATATATAACTTACCTTAAAATTTAAAAGTTTTCTAAAGTTTTTGAGTGCGAAAAAAGACAAAAAAAAGTACGAGATAGTAAAATTATGCGGCACAATGGTATCTTTTTCGTATGGTTAAATCGAAGTGAAAAAAAAAAGAATGAAACATTAGGCATTTCTTGTATGTAAAAATTTAAGATCAGGAGCGCAGATTATTTCAATAGTTTCAATATTTCGATTATTTTTAGGGTATTTATTTTCTGGTAGGGGGGGATGCATACGCCCCTATCCCCTCCCCCTCCTCCCTGGATCCGTAACTGGAAGTTTAAACTAAAAAATCAACAGATAGCTTTAACTGGGTTTACAAATGTAAACAACTCAGAAAAAATTTAACAAAACTCTAATAAAGCAAAAATCAACCTTACTCAACCATGAAAATTTTTAAAAGTTTATATGCAAATAAAAAAATAGTAGCAGAACCTTTTTTAATATGGTCAAGAAATAATAAAATTTGCTGGTATTAAAACAGAATTTAATTAATTACAAGTTAATATTTATTTTGGTTTCAAAAATAAAATGTCGTCTTCACATAAATAAGTTTTCTAAAATTTTTTCTGAAAAAAAAAAACAACGCAAAACGCTTATCTGATGACGACAAAGAAGTCGCAATTTACTTTTGATCAATTGTTGAGGAAGAAAAACTACGGAGTTTACGTAAACACTTTAAATGAAAAAAATATGAAAAATAGAGAGAAAAATATATCTGCCAAACAGTGTTATTAAACTAATGATTAAATTAAAAACTTTTAGACTTTTTTTTACGATTAGAAAAATTAATTAGTGTTTTTGAAATTAAAATGAACAAAATGGTCATTGCACAGCTTTAATAATTTAGCTAAATAAAATAAAAACTTACTCTAATATTTTACTAGAAATGGCTGATTAATAATCGACGGTTGTTGTTCTAGTCTTACAGTTTCATTTGAATTTTTTTAATTTACGTTTTATGGTTATGTTTTTAATGGGATATTTTATGGTAATGTCTTTAAACCAAATATAGCCATTAAACTTTTTTTTTTAATATTAAAGTATTTTATTGTTGTATTCAATATATTCTTGGAAATTTATTTTATCATGCATTGGCGTTATTATACTATTATTTTTTGGATACTTATTTTGTATATCTTGGACTTTATGTTTATAATACTGAATACTTATATTTATATGATAACATCATTATACTGTTATTTTATCATAGGACCTCGCTTAATAAGGACCTTGCTTATTAAGGACCTCTCTATTTTTATTTATCATGAGTTTTGCGTCGGGTAAGTAGTTGATTGTAGTGCTAAAAAGCTGCAAATAAATCATTAGTTTATCAATGATCAAAAAAATCATACTTTAAATAAAATAATAGGCGCTCTTGAATTTTTACAGGTTGTCTAAAAACAAAACAAAACAAAACAATTGACTATTATATATACAAATTCAAACATATCTTTAAAAAATTACTCACTATTCAACAATTTATTATCGAATAACAAAACATTCAAACTTTGTTTTTGTATTGACCAATAAGGTAATAACTTTATTTTTAGGTTTAAACAATAAAGTACTGTTTGTTACAAACCTTTTGATTGGATGTCAAACAAATTTTTTGATTGGACATTGAACCTTTAGGAAAGTGTTATTTATCAATCTGATTACTCTGCTTGTAACTAATCTTTGCTCTTGTTAACTGCTCCGTTTGCAACTTTTTGATTGGATATCAAACAAGTTTTATGATTGGATAGCAAATCTTTAGGATAATGCTATTTTTCAATCTGATTGCTCTTAAAATACACCGTTTGCAGGAACATAAACAACATATTTGTTTTAAGGCGTGTTAAAAGCTTGTGTTTTCAATTCTTTAACAACCTTTTTAGGTAAATTTAGTGACTTTTATTTGTCAATGTGGTTTGCGTAAATGTTTGTTTATAGTTTCCTATAATATTACATTGTTGAACACTAAAACACACAACAGAAATCAACTCTGCTCAAACATAAAGCACAGCTCTCAAAAGTTCCCTTGAGAATGAACTTTTTTTCTATGCTGATTTTGTTGGTTTGTATAGAACTCTTTCAAACGCAAGGTTAGATTTTTATTTTTATTTCTTTAATTTAATGGGTGACTGTAAGAAGTAAAAGCTTTTCTAATTTATTGAGTAGCATACTGATAAACCAATAAATAATTTTGTAGGACCACGTTTCGGACTAAAAAAAGACAGCATACAAGTTATAAAAACAAGTGCAGAACACTTCAATGAATGTAATAATTGTACTGATGATAAGTCAATGATTTTAATGTATAATCAACTCAAAGAATACCAAAATTCAAATTTAACAAGCTGCAACATTTCTTATACTAACTTGAGTGAATGGGTACGGATATTTTTGTTTTAGTGTTTTTTTGTATAATCAAATCATATCAAATGTATTCTGAAAATAGTTGTTACGTTTCTTCAAATATTTACTGGTAAAAACATTTATAATGAATGATATAGCGCATTTTTTAACTAATAAATTATAGAAAAATAGAATACTTTGATAGAATACTCTTAGAGCTGCAATAACAGTAACAACAACGACGTGATCAAAAACAACAACAGCAGCAATAACAATAGCAATCATAACTAGGGGAATCTATCTAATAAAAATACATATTTTAAACTTAGTGATTTAGCTATTTAATTTTAGTTGAAAAAGTAGATTTTTCATGATTAAATGGTTTCACATTCAAAGATTTTTTAACCGTGTTACATAAAAATGAGGGGTTTAAGTTACTTGTAGATCAAAGATATTAAGTATTGATTATTAAGGTATTAACATAATAAAGTGGTTAAAAGTATCAGTGACTTTATGTTGTTTAACAAAGACGCCTTTTGCAAAATGCTTGCCAAGTGTAATTTATTGTCGAGCTTTCTACAATATATAATTATTATAGAATATTTGTTACAAAAATATTGTGATATTTATATTGACTTTGACATTTTTCCAAAAGTTATAAAGTGTTTTGGGCAAAGATTTTTCAAAATTTTGTTTACGTTCCAAAAATGAGAAAATGATCAAAAATTTTTATAAATAAATAAAAAATCTTTTTCATGAAATGTATGCTTGTTGTATGTATATGTCTTTTTGTATACAAACTTAAAAATGATGTTGAGTTATAGAGCACAAAATTACAAGATTTAGTGTCGGCTGCACCTAGACCATATGACTTTTAGAGCCATATAGTATAGGTGTATATACATATTTATGTATACTCAAATTCTTTCGTGTCATAAAATATCCAAACCGAGATGAAAATCAGTACACAGTGGAAAAAAACGAACTCAATTGTTGCCTGATCAAATCTAAACAAACAAAGCGGCTTTTTATTACTAGATGTTGAAACATAGATAAGATGTGACTTTAAATAAGTTACAGGAACTTATTATTGCCTCTGCTATGCTAAAGAAAAGTTGTTAAGAAGTTTAAGTATATGATGCCAGATATATTTGCTAGGAAAATGCTTTATTCAGCTGTGGGAGGAAGAGTTATCTATTTATCATTTTGAAAACAATGAAGGCTGAACGTTACATAACAGAGTGCCTCCAAGAACGTCTATTGCCTTCACAAAAATCATTGACATTACATTTGGGCCAGATTTAGTTAGTTGCCATCATCTCAAAAAATCACACAATTAAGTTAGGAGGATAATTTACATAAAACATCTATCATCTAGCTTTGAGCGTATTAAAAGGGGAATTAGTACAAGGAACTGCATTATAATTTTCAGCTGTGTTATCAACTATAGTTTAAAAGCTATCAAGACTTAGATGTATCTAAGTGTTTCAGTAAATTTTTAAAATGCAAATAAAAAAATAAAATGACAGCAAAAATTTGTTATAATTTGTTTAAGTTATTATTTGCTTTGTTATAAAAAATTTTACGTTTAAATTTTTTAAGAAAAAATGTTTCCTTAACTTAAGTATAAGAAGGTATATGATAAAATATAATTTATATTAATTGATTATTATTATTTTAATAATTAAGTTATAAAAAACAACCCTTAGTGTAAGATACACCCACACTAATGCAAACACGTGCATATGTAATATCCATTAGTGAGATAAAAGATTTTAAAACACTGGTGTAAGTGTAAATCTGCTTTTGTAATTTCAAAATATTATGAGTTTGCACTTATGCAGATTCACACTCAGTTGTTGCAAATGCTGAGCAGTAGCAAATGTTGAGCAGTTGCAACTTAGCAGTTGCAAATGCTGAGCAGTTGCAACTTAGCAGTTGCAAATGCTGAGCAGTTGCAACTTAGCAGTTGCAAATGCTGAACTGTTGCAACTTAATGTTACAAATTCTGAGCAGTTGCAACTTAGCAGTTGCAAATGCTGAGCAGTTGCAACTTAGCAGTTGCAAATGCTGAGCAGTTGCAACTTAGCAGTTGCAAATGCTGAGCAGTTGCAAATGCTGAGCAGTTGCAACTTAGCAGTTGCAAATGCTGAGCAGTTGCAAATGCTGAGCAGTTGCAACTTAGCAGTTGCAAATGCTCAGCAATTTTACAGATTTGCAATGCTATTTTATTTACAGTTACGTTATAAATTCATTTTTAATCAGTCACCCCATTTAGGCTAGTAAACTTAATCTCTTAGCGTTCAAAAATTATGACCATTTATAGTTTGAACCCTCTTAATTTTAGGGGGTTAGAAATTTTAAAAGGTCGTAATTTTTGAAGCTACGAAAGGGTTTTTAAGGGAATTGGAAGTTTTCCTGTAAGCAAAATTCATCGATGAATATAAATTGATAAAAACAACAACAACAACAACAACAACAAAATACTTTGCCAACTTATTGTTCTTACGTTTAAGACAGATGTGGCAAAAATTTAAAGTCTATTTTGTTCACAAGTTTCAATCATTGCATTTTTTTCCAAAATATCCCGACTAAAGTATAAGCATATAAGTAATAGGAGTTTGCTCCATGTCTGGAAGTTAGTTATCTCAAATATCGAAAAACCCAGCATTTGTCCCTGCCTTCATTATGTTCTTTTCTAACAAAGTATTTCAAAAATATTTGGCATTATAAAATCTTTTGAAAAAAAAATGGGTTTCTTTAACATTTATTAAAACCATCATGCAATGCTATATAACTTGATGCCTTTTTCAACTTACGTATATTATGTAAAGTGGAAAAAAACTGAAAATTAATCTCAAAAGAAAATCTAGCATAATTTATAAAGTACAAGAAATTAGCAAATAACTCAAAAGAAGTTAAAAAAGTAACTTATATCAAGAAACCTTTGATATTGTTTATTTAATATTGTATTATGTATTATATTTATGTAATATAAAATACCACATAAATTATATATTACTATTATGTAATAAATTGTTTCATTTTTCCATTTTTTACTTATCAATCTTATTTGACCCATAAGAGGTTTCTTGTTGGTCCTTCTTTAGTTTAAGTACATCTAGCAACCGTTTGCGTATTGATTTTACTTAACACTTGGTAATATTTTTGTCAATGTTAGACCTACATTTAACCACAGCTCTCTTTAAATCTTTATAAAGAGTTTATTACCTACTTCTTTTAATCAAAGTCCAGAAATGTTCCGTTAGATTAAAATGCTCTATTAGATTGTTAGCTCCGTTAGATTGTTAGCTCCGTTAGATTGTTAGCTCCGTTAGATTGTTAGCTCCGTTAAATTGTTAGCTCCGTTAGATTGAAATCAGGGCTTTGCGTGAGCTATTTTAAAACATTTATGCCATTTTCGCTAAATAAACAAAATTTAAAATTTATAAACGTTTGCAAACGCCTTTTCTAAAATAAATTTAAAACAGTATTTATAAAATTTACTTTTTAACAAAATAAGATTCATTGATGTTTGCTTCGCTTTTTAATATAAGATAATAAGTAATAGTAGACAAAGATATTTTTGTATAAAAATAAGTAATATATAAAAATGTTTAAAACAAAAAAAATAAGAAACTTTAAAAGAGGTGAGGTAAAAGATTTCGTACAAATTTTTAAAAAAATAAACAACATTAAGATATTATTTATAGATTGTCCACCAAGTAAGGACTCGGCATGCGTCACTCTGCAGCAAAATCAAAAAGTAACCACAGGAAAAACAGAAAACCTAGGCAATTCAAGAAGTGAAAAGTGTTAATGAAAAGTTGTACAACTAGAGCCTCAGTCTCTTTTTACTAGAGTATCTCCGAACGTCAAAAAAGTCATATAACTGTTTATGCTTTTCTAGCAGGGATTTATTACCACAATATGTGACCCACGAGGGGAAAAAAGTGTATACGGACTGGATTGAGGTCGCTCATACTCCAAGTAATAGTGAATGTAGCTTCTTTATTTTTTGAAATGGGTTTAAAATATATTTTTGATATACACAAATCATCCTGTAAACCATGCACAAATACTTATATTAAACTGGCCAGAATTCCTTTACTGTAGGAACTAGGTGTTCTTTCTCTAAACAGAAATGCCATTGACACACGCTTATTTAATCAGTGTTTTTTTTTACCAAAAAGACCAGTAAAAAAATCCGCATTGTTTCATACTCATCATACAAGATCATGCTGATTGCTACACTTCAGAACACTTGTTTTAACAATGCTTAGAGATACGTTGTTAAAACAAGTGATATTGATATTGAGAAGCAGATTATACTAATTTTGAGAGAGCTCAACATCAATATAATCAGCTTTGTTTTGCATAGACTTTTTTCTAAAACAATTGCAGTCCCAATGTGCGTAAACTTCTTATCATCAAAGTTCTGCTCACACTAATGTTAATGATATACCATAGTAAATATTATGTTAATATTATGCCATATAAATGTTATGTTAATGTTATCCCATGTAAATGTTATGTTAATGTTATGCCATATAAATGTTATGTTAATGTTATGCCATAGTAAATATTATGCTGCTGTTATGCCATATAAATGTTATGTTAATGTTACGCCATATAAATGTTATGTTAACGTTATGCCATAGTAAATGTTATGTTAATGTTATGACATAGTTAATGTTATGCCATATAAATGTTATGTTAATGTTATGCCATAATAAATGTTATGTTAATGTTATGACATAGTTAATGTTATGCCATATAAATGTTATGTTAATGTTATGCCATAGTAAACGTTATGTTAATGTTATGCCATAGTAAATGTTAAGATCTGTGCACGCATATGTTATTGTTATTCCATAGTAAATGTTAAGATCTGCTTACGTTGCTTATGTTAATGTTATACCGTAGTAAACATCTGAAGCATCTTTAAAACAAACATGAAGCTTTAAAAAATATATTTTGTTTTAATACACAATAAAAAGAGTTAATAAGAAATCCATTTACCTTGTTTGTTGTAG